GAAACAATGCGCTGAATTTCCAAGTACAATAATCCGTTAAGTTAAGAAGAAGCAAGCCAAGAGCTTCACGATACTTGTACACATGGAGAGGAGCGGCCGCGAACGGGGGCCCCCTCTGCGAAACGTGTCTGCCTCTCTTGAACGAGCCGCGCGCTCGGGATTCTCACTCGAGTTTAAGCACTTTTTCGAATCCTTCGAAACTCGCCGGGTGCCGCGAGTACCTACTTAATTGCAATTTCAGGGATCCAGCCGGCTTTTCGAGGCTCGCGCTACTTAACGCTCGCGTGAATGGTGACGCAAGTTACAGGATCCGACAGCGTTTCCACGCGACGTGTTCCTCGACGAGAAGATGCTGTTGCTAGGGGGATTTGTGCAGCTCGATCTTTGTGTATAATATATCCCCGAGAAGAACGCTGTATTTTTTGTACACGTCGCGGGAGGTAAATACGAAGAACAACAAGAGATATTATTATTGTTCATTGACAATTCTAGCCTGGAGGCGAAGAGAAATCAACTTGGTTTACAATTAAAGGAAACCCTAACCTCATTCGTACCACGGTGCTTTCCACACGCTCGTGAACTCTGCCGAATTTTTTAAATTTTATCCAGAAATATTGAAGATATTGAGATCGTATTTTAGAGTTCTTATACCGGTGCGGGAGATTGAAATACCGATGCAGCTCTGCAATCTTTCGCAGGATAATGTTCCGGAAGGAATTAGAGATATTGAGATTGTATTTTAGAATTTTTATAGCGATGCGAAATACAGAACCTGGCTACTTCGTTTAAAATGAACTTTTTTATCCGTATGACAAAAGAGAGGAGGTAGATGTAACGAGAGATTAAGATTTTGTAATACGGGAGAAACACGTGTGTTGTAAATTGATCGTTACGCAGTTTTTCGCGAGGGCTTGTCTTGTAAAACGGCAGAAAGTGTACAATCTTTTAATACACTTAGGTAGGCAGCTAAGAAGCAAACGAGTGAGGGTTGGAAATGAAGAGGTTGTTCTTATACTCTTTCCTTGGCTAGAGGAGATGAACGCAGTAGCTTCTAGATATTTCACTGAAACAAAGCTCCGAGCACAAAACCACCCTCTTTTTCTCTCCCCGCTGCTGCTGCTTGATGCTCTATTCTTGCCGTGCAAGAAGATGCGCGCGAGTTTTTCGCCGATAAAAAGACTATCTCAGCATCGGTGTTATGCTTCTTTCGAGTTATTCCTGACAAATGTTAGACGCCCCGTAAATGTACTACACGTACCTATCGTGCTGCTTTTCATCTGAAAATGCGAGTGATAAATGCAGCTGACAGTTTCCAAGAAACGCGTCGCGTCTCCTTTCATTTTCCATCCAGTTTTCTTAATTATCCAATCTTCGTTTATCATTTCCCCCACTTACACTTCTGACAAAATATTACGTGTATCAGAAGCAGCAAACTGGAAATCGTTTTCAAAGTACCTACATCTGAATAGTTTTCTTACAAACGTACACCGGAATTGATAATTTATATTTGAAGAGATTTCATTAAAAAAAAGAAAAATAATAAATATCGCAATTATATTCTAGGACTGTTTTATTCCAAGTAAATCTCCAAATTCCTATCGGAACCTATTGTCAGAGAAAGTACGACAAGTCCAGGGGAACGAAAAAATGAAAACGAAGAGATACTGAATGTTTAGGACGAAGAAGATGGACAAACAGGCAGATAGGTAGAGCACGGGGGACAGGGGGCGAAGGAAAAGCCTCGTTTCCGAAAAATAGCTCAATTTCGAGCGATGATCCGACCACGGGCCTAGGGAGTCTTTCGAAAAAATTCCCTCCGACACTATCGAGAGACTCGCCGGCGAAGATCATGAGTTTCCACACCCTTTCTGCGTTGGCACGGCCGAGCCACCCCCGCCACGGGGCCCGCCACCACCATCGACGGCCACCAACACCACCAGCAGCGCTCCCTTCTCAAGTGGAATTGGCGGTGTTGAGCGTCGCGAAACGTATCCGAGGAGAGTAGACCTTAAGTCGGCCGGCCTTAAGGGCGTGTTTCCCCTGTCCGCCGCGGACGGGTTGAGTGATAAATCGATTTACGTGCTGGCCAATGAGGGTTGAAAGTGGCGCTTTCTGATTGGCCCGCGCCTAGACCACTCCCCTTTCGTTAATAAAGGTTCTGGGCGAAAGCCGGTTTCACCATGCCACAATTTCTGTCCCTGGAACTTTGCTTCGACTTGTAGCACACTGGCTACTCCGAAACTTCTCGGATTAACGCATCGTACCGAGTCGAAGTTTTTCTATTCTTTCAGTCTTTTTATTTGATAGTTAGAAGCATCTACGTAGTGGTAAATTAAATGAATCGTCATGTACGATAGAACGAATTATATAGCATTAAGTTACATCGTTCGATATCAATCGTTAGATCGAGCTCCAATTAACGACTACTATATTACATCTGCTCTATTTAACGAATACAGAGACGAATATTCGATTTGTTTCATTCAATCACTCGTCCAGGTGGTGTACATCCTCGTTCCACGAAGCAGAACAGAATAACCATCGTCACTAATCAGCCGATCACTTTTGCAGGATAATGTCCGCGTCATCTCAGCACCGTGGTCAGCTCATCCGGCAGACTGGCCATCGGAATGTCCGCTATCACCGGTTGGACAGTGTATAGAGGCAGGAAGAAGCATCGTATCTTGAGAATGCCATCTGGAAGGCCTGAATCGAGGTCTTTTCCCCGTGGTAAACCGGTCTGTCGTAGGCGTAGCCGACCGAGGCGTTGACATCGGTAGACCCCACCTTCCGGCTGGTAAATAGGGCTATGTCTACCCGGCTGGCCGTCTCAAAAAACCGACCAATCCGCGATGCGAGACGGCCACTGTCGGCGCGTAAAGTAGCGGAGGCGCCTTTGTTGCGAGGGGTCGACGAGTGCAGAAAAGAAGGGCCTGACAGAGAGAGAAAGAGAGAGAGAGTGAGAGAGTGGGGTTGTGTGTATGCATCGCGTGCACGGAAAAGGGAGGCAGGCGACAGTGTACAGAAGGGGAAGGGATCTCGATTCGAGGATGTGAAGAGTAGAGGGGGCGGGAGGGTGCGCAAGAGGCAAGCCAGGAGGGGGTGTGTGGGTCGGGTAAACGCCACCCTTCGCGAGAACGGGTATAGGTGTGGGTGCGTGTACGTGGCACAGCCGCCCCCGGGGGTTTCCCTTCTTCGTTGGGTGTCGCGCAGTCGAGCAACCCTGTGCTGCTCGGCAGCTCAGTTGCCCATCGCCGCGACGACGACACGGTTGCGCCACGACGACGACAGCCAGACACACGTCACCGTAGCCGGGACTAACCCCGAGTGTAGGCACGTTGGTTCGTTGATTCGTTCGGTTCGTTCGGGACGAGTTTCGCGACCACCAGTAGGAGCTCGACGCCACGCAGTTCAGTACCGGTCCGATCTTCGAGTAAGCCGTGGTTGGTGCTGTCAGTGAACTGGCTCTCCGTGAGAGTCCGACGGTTCCTTCGGGACCTTTCTCAGTGTTACAATTTTACCAAACGAACACAGGAGAGAACAGGGAGGAGAGTCGAAGATAGCAAGAGAGTACCGACAGTGTTGGAGGGTAATAGAGAGTATGGAGAAGGAATCGTGGGCTACCGATGTGGAGCTTGTTCGTGATCACTGAGAGAAGAGGGAATTTCTGTGCACGAGTGCCTTTACAGTCGAGTAGAGGATATAGCAGAGGCGAGGAAGTCTCTGTTGTCCCTGAAATTCAATCCGGTAGTGGAGAATGAAAGGAAGAGGTTCCAGGAATTTCCATGCTCATCGCTGAGGTCCGTGGAGAGAGTTTTGTTTCGGTGGACAGGAGCGATGAATGAGCTCCATCACGTGCTATCGGAACGGTGAATAGAATTCCTGGATACTGAGATAAGGTTCTAATTGTCTTGGAGCGAATTCGGTTCAGCGAGCAGCTAGAGGAGAACAGGAATCTGTACCTGATCACAACGAAACCATCATTCAACGAACAGACTGGACGATAGTGTGACGTTAGCTGCGTAGTTTCTAGACTGTAGATGTGTTTAAGTGTGAAAGCAAACAAGGGGTAATTCGATTTTTATCGAGAACAGAGGGAGATTCGTATCTGGAGACGTCGCTCGGGTTGCCGTCGCTCGCTGGAAGCTGCACGGAGATTCACCGCTCAACGGATCACGGACTTCTACCGTTACAACGAAGATAAGTTGAGGAAATATCACAGTAAGCCCTCTAGTAATCCTCCATCGATCGATAAACCTTCATTTTTCGAGAGATTTTCAATGATGGAGATCTATGAAAACACTTAGGACCTCTGACGGGTCCGCGAACCTGTTTCTCCATTCTCCTACAAACAAATATCCGCTATATTTTACAAAATCAAGTGGACTGCTCAATTAGTAATCGCTTCGTAGCGGGCCTACAGTAGAAATCAGCGTCTAGTGATCTCTGCGTCGATAGAGAGCGACGCGACTGCTCGCCGCAAACCGTCGGACGTTGAGCAAGCGTTATGTCAGGGCCTAGCCAACGCTAATAGCTTCGTTCTCTGTGTATTCATTCGTACAATTGCCTGAAAACGCTGCTTCGCGATTTCTGATCGTTCGATAACAATCGTCGAGCAAACTTCGAACAGAGCCCAACGAATTCAGCCTTCTCTTCTCTTCGAGAGACATCGACAGCTGAGAAATCGTTTAGAAAGAAAGTTCCTAGAACATCGAGGTTTCGTCTCGAGAGCAACGAGTGGTAAAGCTATTCAAACTTACACGGTCGGAAATACAACGATCTCCTCGAAACTTGTTGTCTTTCAAAACCAGTCGTCGACCGGCCACCTTAAAATGCTCCCTTGGGAGAAATAGCAAACGAGAGAGAGAATAGGAAAACAAGCATAGAAAAACGAGAGAGAAAATTAGCGAGACGAATTAAAGGTAGCGAAGGGGAAAGAATGTTCATGTTTTGAGAGTGGTAAGACTAATTGATAAGAGGAAAAAAGAAACGGGGAAAAGATGCCGCAGCGATCGCCGTTCGCGATCCAGGAGCTGCTGGGGCTGAACGGTACCGGAAATGGAAGCGGTACCGATCGCGGCTCGCCCCAAGGATCACCGCCGGCCGGTGTGTCGGCCGTCTCGTACGCGCCCACCGCGCCTCATCACAAACTATGGGACTACATGCCTAGCCTGACGAATCATCTGGGCAATCTGGGGAATCTTGGGAATCTGGGCAACCTCACGGCCTCGCGGATGGCCTACCTGAATGCGCAGGCGGCCGTCGCGGCTGCCTTCCTGCCGCCGCCCCACCCCCACCCCGCGCACCACGTACCACATCATCAGGTACATCAACCAGGACAACTTCCTGCCTCGCCGGCCGGCGTCAGCGTGCATCCGGCTGCACACGCGCAGCACGTACTTCCGGGCACCGCGGTCACCGCGAATCATCATCAGCACAGTCCTACTCAGCACACGCCACCCCATGGTGAGTCGAGCTTCTTTACCCCTTTCTTTCTTAGATCTCACATAGAAACACGAAGAGTACATACCACGTTGTGGTACACACACGTATACGTAATCAAGGAAGCTAATTAACCGTTGAGTATGCTTAGGTGGACGAAGGATGAAACGGTTGAAATGTGGTGCATGCCGATGATTGTGATTCTCTAGCATGAGTTAGCTTGTTTGATATTTTTCATACGGTACTTTAGATTTCTAAAGGATAGCTTTACACCAGTTCTAATTACCCCAATTACACAATGTAACACTTGCGAGTATATTCTTTCTTCGTATTTTCCTAATACTTCTGAATATTATTCCAGTTAGTTCTTTTCCAGTTTTCAATGGAATCGTTTTCCTGAATTAAAATTATTCCAATTGTATGTACGCTTTTATTGTTGAAAGGTTGTATTAATAGTTATATTTCAGCATGAATATCGAACAGGTTACGTAGCGTTATTAACGTTCCACCTTAAAGGAATCGCGTCGTCGCCGGTTTTTCTCATTGCTTATTTCCAACGAGTCTGGACGAATGGCGTTCTGCTGCATGGCGAGCGTAACGCGTCATTATCATTAAACCACGCCACACGCCAC